ATATATATATATATATATATATATATGTCTTTTATTCCCACTGATATTGCATTTGCGGCCAGTGTCTGCGTATTACTATTATTATTATTATTATTATTATTTTGATTAATATTATTTTTTTTTTCTGTTTTCTTGACAGTTCTCATTTTTATTCTCTCATTTTCATTTTCTCTTCTTTTTTTTTGCTTGTAGAAGTGCATATGTCATACGCCAAGCCGACCTTTTCCAGCAAACGCCGCGCACGCACTCCTCCACACGACTCCACCGACAAACTCCGTAGTGTAAATAACATGTCCGACACTGCCCATCTCAACAATAATAATAAAAATAATAACAGCCGTCCTGATGCGAAACGCTCCCGCAAGGAGGGCCGCACCGTCCACCACCCGCACGAGGAGGAACTGCGACTCTCGCAGGAGTTCACATCGCAGTGCGATGCCGCGGTGCAGCGGGTGAACGCCCTGCTCGATCGCGCCCAACAACGCGAGGAGCACATCCAACGCACACTGCAGGCGAGTCTCGACCGCTCCCCGCCCCGCCCCGCCAGCCGCTCGCCGCAGTCCAACACCCGCCTCTCCGGCCTCTTCGGCACCCCGCAGGTCCCGCAGGCACCACCGCCAACCCCCGCACACCCCGGAGAGAGTAGCCACAATCGTAACAAGAGCAATAATAATAATAATCAAAATAATAATAATAATGATAATAATAATAATAACAGCGCCACAGAGACAGCCTCCACGACTGGCTGGATAAGTAGAATGCTCTGGGGAGCATCGGAGACACCGGCGTCCCCACTCGCAACAGGCACCACGCCGCTCTCAAAGCAAATGAAGTCGCCGCAGTCGGCGGAGAGTACACGGGGGCAACAACACACACAACAGACGCAGTCGTGCAGTCCCCCGCCCGCCTCACCAGCGGAACAGAATGCCTCGCTGTTGCAGCGCGCCGTGCAACGACTCTCCGGCCGCTTCTCGTCACCACCACCACCACCACCGAAAACAGAAAGTCCACGACGCTCGCGGAAGTCCGTTGCGTTTAAAGAACCCGAAGACTTGGTGACTCTCACACCCCCACGTCCTACTGCAAAGACTTCATCAGATGAAAACCAAAAGGAGGATGTTGAGCCGGCTCCGCGGGGTTCACTGGTGTATCCACCAGCACCACCACCGTCTGCAAAGAAGGAAAGCCGCAGCCGCAGCCGCAGCCCGTCGAGTGAAGATGAAAAGGAACATAAGGGGCCGGATCTTGAAACACCTGATGTAGGTGCTATCATCCGCGAGTTTTCACAGGCACGAGCCCTTCGGGAACTCACCAAGGCGGATTTACTGGCTTACGCCAAACAACACCACATCAATGTATCCATGTCAAGTACGAAGAAGGAGATGTTTGAAGTGGCGCGACGTTTGGCTAAGGATAATGTAGAGAAGGCGAATTAAATGTACGCACGACGCCTCTGGAAAGAGAGAGAGAGGGAGAGGGAGGGAGGTCATGTTGTATTGCGTAAAGTCTAGAGAGAATTAACTGAGTTGCAGAGAAGAAAGGAAAAAGAGGAAAATGAAGATGAAAAAGATTCAAGGTAGAGAACATAACATGGAGGCATAAAACTCAGAATTCTATCAGTAGAGAGAAAGAGAGAGAAAGAGAGGGAGAAAAAAAAAAAAAAAACACAGTCTTTAAGTATGCTTTGTTGGTTGAAGTGATTTTTTTTGTATCACTCTCCTACACTTTCTCTCTCTCTCTCTCTCTGTGCCTTTCAGAGCTTCAATGAACTTGAACAATTCACGAAGCATTTCGGTTGTCACTCTGCCTACTTCTTTGCTTCATCTCTACACATACACTTTTTTTTTTTTTTTTTTAAATTATGGTATTCTCTTTGCTTTTTTTTCTTTTTTTAAATCTTATTATTATTATTCTTATTGCTTCCCAAGAAACCACAATACCCTGGTGGTTAAGTGCGTTTTTTTTTTCTGTTCTGTGGACAGACGTGGGAGTGATTAAAGGACAACAATAAGTAAGAGGTGAATTTTCTATGAGATTGTGGGTACAGTAGAGACGGAGATAATGAGGGAGTCAATGGATAGAAATGTGATACTATGCTGTACTTTTGTACCTCTTTTGTTCTTGTTTGTTGTTGTCGTTGTGTCTTTTTCGCACCTGTTTATTATTATTATTATTATTATTATTATTATTATTATTATTATTATTATTATTATTTTTCATTGTTCCTCTTGAATAGACGTAGAATGTATATCACAGCGGTGAAACGTAAGATATAAAAAAAAAAAAAAGAAACGATCGGAGGACAGATAAAGTAAATGTATGGGATTGTATGTTTCTGTGTGAATATGTTGAATTTTTAAATCTAGAAAGCCGAATAGAGGAAAGGGTGTAAGATGTGGTGTGCAGGGTTATACAGCTTTTATAGAGTTATCCATGCAACTACTTTTTTCTTCACTTTCTTTTTTTTTTTTCGACTGCTTATTCATTCACCCATGCATTTAATACACTTGTGTCTCCTTTTTCATCGCCTGTGTGCACTTTCTTTTACAATCCCCCCTTTTTTTTTTCCTTTTACGACCCCAGCCATTGAGCTGCAGATGCCCAACCACAGATATATACATATAAAATGCAGACAGAGAGAGGAAAAAAAAGAGAGAGATATAGTCCGATAAAAGGAAGAGAGATAGATCTGTATAGGCACAGAAAATCATGGGTTTTCTGTTTGTCTGTATAGAGTGGTGTTATCTCTTTTTCTCTTTTCCTGTTCGTTTTTTTTTTTTTCTTTTGCTTTCTGCTTTCTCTTTTTTTTTCACTTGTTTCATCTACTATTTTTTTTCCCCCTTTCTTCTTTTCTGCATCATTTTCTTTTTTTATTTTCTTGTCTCCGAACTGCACCGGTGTCGCATGTACTTCGTGTAGCCGGGAAGTAGAGTGCAAGTAATACAGAGAGGGAAGGGAAAGTACATTTGGGTCATTTTGAGTGTTTGACAAACACCAGTGAAAGACAAGAAAAGAGAGGAAGTAAAACTTAAAAAAAAAAGGAAAAAAAAAAAAACGACAACGAACAACAACAACAAGAAGGAAGGAGAGGTAAGTGAAAAGTGAGTGTATTGGGTGTGCTGCAGTATAAAGAATTCGCAGTCACTATCCGAAAAAGCTAGTGTTATATATATATATATATATATATATATATATATATTAGTGTAGAGAGAAACAAAAGAGAAAGAGAAGAATACGTAAAACAAACAAAAACAAAAGAAAAGGACGAGAAAAGAAAAAAAAAAAAAAAAAAAAAAGCGAGGGCGATATAGCTGACTGTTAGATAAGAAAGAAAAAAGGGAAAAAAAATGACGGAAGAACCCATGTCGTCTAGCAGGCGTATTCAACTGCTGCGGGAGCGGCTTGAGATGTACAACGCAACGATAGCAGAGGCCATGGGTGTTGTTGCGGGTGTCACCAGTGTAGAGAGAAATGCCGCTCCCACCACCAAAACAACTGCCAAGCAGCGCGTAGACGAGGCGGAGAGTAAAGGCAAAGAGAGCGCACCACGACTGGAACGCGATCTTGCTGCTGAGTTCAGCGCAGCGCGGGCATTCAGCGGTGACTCTCGGCGGTATGAGAAGAGAACAGTGCCCCCACCACCATCACCACCGGAGGAGGCAAAACCAACAAATACAAATACAAATACCACCGCCACCACAACAAGAGTAGTGCCAGCAACTCTGGCAACATCAAGTAGTACAGCTTCCACCTCGGAATTAGACTCCTCTACACTGTTTTCAGATGTTGATGATGAACCATTTGTGAATCCATATCTGAATGAACCAGTTCTACAAGGGGAAAGTGCCGCATATGGGAGTGAGAGTGAACGCAACAAAGAGCAACAACATTCACGGGCCGCAGCATCGAGACCTTTTGATGAAAAAATGAAAAATATTATCCCTCTTGCTTCATCCAGTGGGAGTTCTGCTTCTGAAGGCTCGATATCACCTAACCCATCCTCTGCGATGATGTTTCAAAAACAAAATAAAGAATCAGAAGAATACGAACAACAACAACAACAACAAGATGGAAAAAAAGAGGATTCTAGGGAGGGTAAAACGATAGACGAAGAATCAAAGGAGGAAAACACAGATGAAGATGCGAAGTTACCCTTTGTTAATTTAGAAACCGCATACTACAGACTTACTTTAGCAGAACAAGCACTTCAAAAACTTACTAGTACGCTTGACATTGATCTCTTTCCGCGCTCGCTGCCACAACAGAAACATTCACAACAATTGGCGGATGCCCGTGATAGTCTTCTACGGCGTGAACAAGAGCTGCGCCGCCGCGGCACGAATGGTGTTAGTCTAAACACTATTTATGAAACCAGTGCGGTTAGCGTGGCGCAGCAGGTGCGTCAACTGCTTGCGGACTGCGGGGCCGCCCAGTCGCTCTTTGCCCGCGTGCACGAGCGGCGGGCTGCTGTCGCGGCGAAGGAGGAGTTGCTGAAGCAGCGGCTCAGCGAACTGGAGGCGCGGCAGCGGGAGACGGCGGAGCGGCGGCAGGCACTCGCAACACTTCAGCGCCGCACGGAGCAGCGGGAGTCGCAACTGCAGCAGCGCGAGGCGAATTACCGCCGGGAGTTGGATGCCCACAAGGCACGGGAACAGGCACTGCAGTCGCGGCTCACTGAGGTGGAGGCACTCGGCCGCCGCGCGGCGTCGTGGATGAAAATTCTCGACGAGCGCGACGCCACAACGGCGGCGAAGGAGCGGCGACTGCGGCGTGTGCAGGCGGATTTAGTGCGACGCTCAGAGGAACTGCTCTGCTGCCGCAATGCCCGCAACTCAAAATACACACAGAACCAAAACCAACAAGAACAACAACAACAACAACAGCAGCAGACACGTGTGCCGTCGCGGCGGGCAAGTAGTCCATAGAGGAGGTGATGCGAGAGAAATAGAGGGAAAGAGAGAAAAGGTGGTGTAGGAGGGGTGTGTGAAGGCGATTGGAAGAAAAGGAGAGAGAGAGAGAGAGAGAGAGAGAGAGAGAGAGAGAAAGAGAAAGGGAAGTTTTGGAAGTGTTTGAGTATGAAGAGGAATGAGTAGGGGTGTGTGTGTGTATGGGTGAGGTGTAAATATGTAGCATATATGTATATTTGTATACGTAATGCAAATATGTACAATCCCATGACCCTAGGGTGCAACCTAACACACAAGAGTAGGGAGGGAGAAGCGAATAGAGGGTGATATACGTACATATATTTAGATAAAAGGAATGTGATAGATATAGAAACAGGAAAAAAAAAATAAAAGTAATCAAAAAGAAATGTATACGATAGTATGTTTTTCTTACTTGGAAACATATACTACTTATTTATTTAATTGTACTTTTTCTATTCCGCCAAATTTTTCGTTATCTTTTTATGATACCCCCAAACTTTTCCGTGCTCTTTCTGAGATTTTTTCTTGACAACGTGCTTATTCTCTCTCTTTTTTTTGCTTCCCTTTGCTGGTGTCTATCGTTTTTCGTTATTTTCATCATTCCTGTTTTTCTTTTCCCTTTTCAAACTCACGCAACCCCAGTGACGCGGAATGTGAGTGATTCTCTCACGTCAGAGAGGTGAAGTCCTGTCTTTTTCTTTTTACTCGTAATGCGGGCACATTAGCTTGCTGTTTTCTTTCTTTTTTTTTTTTACTTCTACTACTATTACTATGACTATTACTATTACTATTACATCGATCTCTGTCACTGTTCTCCCATTTTATTTTTCTAGTGTTGGTGTTGGTGGTGTTAGGGACAGTAGTCATAATAACATCCACATCTGCCGCTATTATCCACAGACTCATCCATCCCATTACTTTCTGTTCCCCTGCCTGTTCACACATCCTTGTTTCTTCCTTCCTTTTTTCTTTTTGTTTTCCTTGCTCTCCCTCATAATAATAATAATAATAATAATAAATAAAACCTTCTTTGCCTACCTTAATCACGTCTAATATTCATAGCGACAACCGAGGGCATTACTGTTTTACTGATGCCTGGTCGTGAGAAGGGGCGCCGCCTCGCCCGCAGTACAAATCCACTCGGCGAAGATCTGCACGCCGACCGCTTCGCCAGCGCCAAGCGACTGGCAGCCGAAGACGACACGGCGGGGGACGGCGAGAGTGGCGTTCTGCTCTCGGGCCGCACCGCAAGCCGCATTCTTAAAACTGCACGCCAGCAACTGGAGGTAATCGCCGATGAGGAACAATACAATAACGAGGAGGATGGTGATGACAACAGCAGTGATTCTGGGGTGGCAGAGCTTGAGTGCGAGGAAGGAAACAGCGATATGTACGGGAATAATAATTTTAATGATAATAATAATAATAATGCTTCTGCTGCTGATATCGATGATGATGGCTCAGAAATTATTCTTGAGTATGACGACACAGAGTCAGCAATGTCTGAGATTCCATCAGAGATGGATATGGGAATGGATATGTACGGCATTGATGATGAGGAAGCTCGTCTATTACAGAAGTTCCAGCCACCATCACGTGTGCAGAGTCGCAACTTGGCTGATATGATTATGGAGAAAATTAGGGAACGCGAAGAGGCGCGTAAAACAGGAGATGAACAGCAGGATCAACATATGGAAGGAGCCAGTGTAAGTGAGTGGGAAGAGGAGAAAATAGACCCTCGTGTATCACGTGTATACACCGCTATTGGCAGTATCCTCAAGAACTATAAATCTGGTAAAATACCAAAGGCCTTCAAAGTTTTACCAAATATTAAAAATTGGGAACAATTATTAATGTTAACAAAACCACATGAGTGGTCGCCTCACGCAACATACCAAGCCACCCGTATTTTTGCTGCAAACTTAAATGAACGTATGGCTCAGCGTTTCTACGCTGCAGTATTATTACCCATGACCCATCAGCACATGGCAAACGAAAAGAAACTTCATCCGGCACTTTATATGGCGATTCGAAAGGCACTCTTTAAACCAGTTGCCTTCTTTAAAGGTTTCATTCTTCCTCTGGCGTCAGATGATGAATGTACACTGAAAGAGGCACTTGTTGTGGCCAGTGTGTTACAACGGATGCACCTTCCACCGGTGCCAACTGCAGTAACGATTGTGAAACTTGCACAACAACCCTTTTCTGGTCCCCGTTCAGTCTTACTTCGTGTGCTCATTGATAAAAAGATGGCAATGCCCTACCAAGCTGTGGATGCACTCGTCGCATACTTTCATCGCTTTGTACGTTCACACAGTAAGGAAGATAAACTTCCGGTATTATGGCACCAAACTCTATTGTCTTTCTCTCAACGCTACAAGGGTGATTTCACGGCAGAACAGGTGAGTTTGTTGCAACAGGTTTGCAGTAGACACTTCCATTATCTTATTACCCCTGAGATACGCCGGGAGTTAAATGTTGCTGCAAACACAATCGCTGCAAGAGGTGGTTGATACATATTAAATTCTGAAGACTTTGCCTTTCAAGAGAGTCAAAAAAAAAAAAAAAAAAGTGAGCTAAACCAAAAAAAATGAAATGAAAGAGAAAAACAAAAAGAAAAAAAGAAGAAGGAAGAAGAAAAAAAGAAGGAAGGAAGAAAGAAAAACTATATCTGCGTGTAACAAGTTCTAAGAGTAGGCACATCGTTGATGCCTTTCATTATGATGCCTGATTAAGGATAAGAAAAATATGAATATATTTCTTCTTTTTTTTACCTTTTTTTTTCTTTGGTGTCCTCTATGGCCTAAAAATTTTATTCTCTTTATTCTTATTTTTTTTTTTTTTTTTATTTTCTTTTACAAATACAACAACAAAAAATAAAATATTAGTTGTTGGACCATCTCCAGAGATTTAACGATTCCATTTTGGAACGTGGTCAGTTTGTTAGATTATACAAGGGAAAAGAAACAACAATAGCAGCTACAACAACAACAACCAAAAAGAAAAAAAAAAGTATTCACAGCGAGGAGAGTAAATTAAATAGGGAGTAGGATTGATACACAACTGTTAATGTGGCGTCGTCTTTCGACTTGTGGGTTGTTGGCGTGTGTTTTTTCTCAGCAACGTGGAGCGGCGAGACGTGTACCTCCACCGCTGCCCAATGCACGTGGTACACCACCGCGAGTGGGTGCGGGAGGATTGGGGAAATTGCCTCCACCCCCGCCGCTTCCTGGTGCGGTGGTGACGGTTTCGGGTGGTGCGTTGCCGTGGAAGTCACCGCAGGAGGTTCTCTCCGCACTGATAGAATTTATTCCTACATTTTACGTACCTATTCACTGCGTGGCGGCAATATTGTCGGAGGAGTGTCGCCGACACTTCATTGGCCGTGGTCGCTTTCTCTCCTTCTTGAAGCGCTACCGTTTCTTCTTTGACTTGCGCATTATTGATGGGGTGCGATGTGATGTGAAGTTGCGTGATGACCTTAGTCACCCCCGCCGCGGCGCTGCGGATGAAAAGTTTGTCATGACGGACGTTGGCGATGTCATCACGTACGTGGCGAACCCGGAGTTTATTGTCTCCGTCGAGTCGATTGAGCAGTCGTGCGGCAGTGTGGCGCTGAAGCCGGTGTGTGCGCCGCCGGCGGTGCATGTGCGGCTGGAGGAGCGGGTGCCGGTGCTGGAGCGGCTGAAGGCCCTCGTGCCGCCCGACTTTGCGCTGCTCGACCACGTCGAGGAGACGGTGCCGGAGGACGTCCTCTTCCACCCGTACTTCGACTCGCAGGGCGGACTCGCGGCCATCGCCTCGAAGTTCCCGGAGTTCTTTCAGGTCGTGGAGGGAATGATACGGCGGCGGCCACCGCATCTCGCCCCACTCGCCCTCAACGACTACACTTTGGAGAACTCCCCGCTGCCAGAGGTGGCAGAGCTGGTGCGGAAGGAGGTCTGCTGCAGCGATATTCCACAGTGGGTCAATATCACATCCATCTATGAACAACTCACAAGACAACAGAAACAACAGATTAAGAAGGAATTTAAGAGTTTCGCCGGGTTCCTGCGGGCACATGGACGTGCGGTCTCCCTTTCACAGGATATGTTGCAGGTGGCACGGTGGATTCCACAACAAAGCAAGACATCATCCTCAACCTCATCAACTTCAACATCATCATCATCATCATCATCATCATCCAATGTATCAGGGGATGTACCTGATAATCTAGAAGGTGGATCTTCTACTGAAGGGAGTAGTAATACCGTTACGGATAAAGTATCAACACCTGCTGTACGTATACAGTATGAATATACACATATACATATCGTAAATGAATTATTTGATAAATTTCCACCAAATCGTACACTTAATCTGGAGGAATTTTTGGCTCTTGTGACACCAGAAATGCTACCTTCCTTACCAAAGAAGGTACTGCCTTGGATTTCTTCGTACCCATCATATTTTGTTGTAGATGATCCTATGGAGAAGGATCCCAAAAAGGCTCGTATACGACGTGCTTCTGACCGTCAACCACTAGATATAGCGTTAGAGTTGTACCAATGTATTCCAGAGGAAGGTATTACAGAAACGGAACTCCTCTTAAAACTACCTGAGGTACATCGAGAGTATGTGAAACGAATAGGTCTACAACATATTGTGAATTCTCTTCCTGAATGGCTCGCTCTCTCTGAAACTAAAGATGGAGTAGTGGGAGGAAAGAAGCAATTACTGCTAAAGCGACTACAGACAGAGGTGGATTTAGAACGTGCGATTCACTCGGAAGAGTCTAAATTGTCTAGTAGTGATGATAAGGTTTTGCCGACAGAACTAAAAGGGGAGGATATAGAGCGACGTTGGCCCAAACTAAAGTATGAAGGTACTATGAGTCAACAACAACAACAGGATAGGCAAAGACAAAAGCAACATCAACAACGACAAGGGGTACGATCACCTCAACGCTGGGGAGGAAATAATTTCTAGTCAGAAATAAATTCTTCTTTGTTGTTTTTTTTTTTGTTTGTTTTTTCTCTGCTACTATTCTTACCACAATGGATACGGAGTATATTTAACATTTCTCACAATGAAAGGCGCATAAAACATATTTGCATTCCTTAGATGAACGATGATAATATATATATATATATATATATATATATATATATATATAATAACAATAATTGTTTCTTTAACTATTGTATCATAAAGTGATCTAACCACGTTTATATAATTATAATTTATTTAGATTATTTTTATTTAACTTTATTTTTTATTTTATTCATTGTTTCGCTTAACAAAGCAAAGCGCATATTGAGAAGCAAGTGATTATTCTGTATCTCTTTTAGAAGGGACACAGTAATATACAAACAAAATAAAGAAGGAAAACAACAACACATCAAGAAGCAAAAAAAAAAAAAAACAAAAGGAAATAATAAAAAGAAAAAAAAAACTTAAGAAGAAAATGTCGGATTCCCCGAAACCAGCGACCCCTGAGTCCCAGGGAGAACCCAATGGAGCTGCAACTACCAAGAACGCCGAAAAGAAACAAGCAAAACAGAATGAGAAGGAAGCCCGAAAGGCAGCACGTCTGGCTGAAGAGGCCGCACGTGCAGCAGAGAAGGCAGCTCTTCTAGCCAAGTATGCTGATGTTTTTGGCACTGCCCCACTTTTACAGTCTACAAAGTACGGCTCTACGAAGTTTAGTGAAATCTCTTCATTGTCAAGAGAACGTATAGGTGAGGTGGTAACACTTCGTGCCCGTGTGGACACAACACGCAAGAAGGGTAAGTTGGCCTTTATGGTATTACGTGATGGGGTACATTCCGTTCAGGCTATGGCCGCTGTTGCAGAGGATGTTCCTAAGGAGATGGTGGATTTTATTGGTCAGATCCCATGTGAGTCTGTTGTGGATGTTGAGGGAACAGTGTGTGGTGTGGAGCAGCCCATCACTGCCACTTCACAACAAGATATTGAGTTAAAGATCAGTAAGATTCATATTGTAAGCGAGTCACAGCGTGTACTTCCCTTTACATTGGAGGATGCCTCACGTCCTGAAGATGCAGAAGGTATTAAGATTAATTTTGATACTCGTCTTGCTTGCCGTTGGTTGGATCTCCGTACTCCAGCTTCAAATGCCATTTTCAAGATGCAATCAAGGGTGGGACAATACTTCCGTCAGTTCCTTATTGATAATGACTTTGTGGAGATTCACTCACCTAAAATTATTGCTGCTGCAAGTGAAGGTGGTGCAAATGTATTCAAACTTGGATACTTTAATCGTGATGCATACTTGGCCCAATCTCCTCAGTTATATAAACAAATGGCTTTACAAGGAGATCTTAAGCGTGTTTTTGAAGTAGCACCTGTGTTTCGCGCAGAAAACAGTAATACACATCGTCATTTAACAGAGTTTGTTGGTTTGGATGTGGAAATGCGTATTAATGAACATTATTATGAAGTACTTGATACAGCAGAGGAACTCTTCTCTTACATGTTTGCACAACTTGCAAAACATACAGAGGAACTTTCAGCTATTGCAAAACAATACCCATTTGAACCTCTGGTATGGCATATCACACCAGAACGAATGAAAGAGCTTGGAATAGGTATTATCGAAGATGGAGTGGAACCTACAGATGTATTTAAGGGTCGTGTGCGCAATAATAATATTCGTATGCTTCGTCTTAACTATCCACACTGTATTGAATTATTAAATACCGTGTTGGAAGAGAAACTGGCACCAACAGATGATATTAATACCACTAATGAGAAACTGCTAGGAAAGTTGGTGAAGGAACGTTATGGTGTGGACTTCTTTATCTCTGACCGCTTCCCTTCAAGCGTAAGACCATTTTATACCATGCCATGCCCGGATGATGCGCTCTTCACGAACTCATACGATATGTTTATCCGCGGTGAGGAGATATCCAGCGGTGCACAGCGTATTCACGACTCTGCACTGCTGCTAAAACGTGCGGAATCCCTCGGTGTGGACTTGACGCCCATCAGCGATTACGTGAATTCCTTCCGTCTTGGCGCGTGGCCGCACGGTGGCTTTGGTGTTGGATTGGAGCGGGTGGTGATGTTGTATCTCGGTCTACACAATGTGCGGCTCGTCTCTCTCTTCCCACGTGACCCGCAGCGTGTAACACCCTAAGATCCACTTACTTTTGATCTTTTTTTTTTTTTTCTATGTTTGTTTGTTTGTTCTTCTTTTTTTTTTTTTTTCTTTCTTTTTATTATTATTATTATTATTATGGAGGTTATTGTTTAATGGCAATACCACAATCATATTTTTCTTTTTTTTTTTTGTTTAAAATTGTTTTTTTTTCCCTTTTATAGGGGGTCATTTTTTTTTTTTTTTCTTGTCCTTAAAAAAGGAAAAAAAAATTCTTCTTCTTCTGTTGTAAATATGCACATTATCTCTTTTTTTTTTTCTGTTGTTTATCCCTTTCTGATTCCTGAGGGAATTAAGGAGGTGTGGGGTAATGGGAACAGAAGGTGCAACTGGGAGAGATAAAGACATGAAGAGAAGGAAATTGAGAAAAGAAAAGAAAAGAAGAGAAGGACGGAGAAGAGAAAAAGAAAGAAAGAAATAAAGAATGGAAGAGAACAACAACGGTCATATCAGCAGCCAAAATGGGGCTATACAAGGGAAGAGGAGAGTGTGTATCCCTGTAAGTATTTGTTAAGAAGAACATATGATGGGAAGAAATGGAGATGGCAATATTCGCCAGAAGATGCATTAACTTAAAAAAAAAAAAAAAAACATCGTTGAAGAATATCTATTGTATCACTTGATATCTGTATGAATCAACATGCGGTCTTGCATTTCTGTAAAACACACACACACACACACACACACACAATCCTATTATTCTTTCTTTTCACTTTTATTTGCGTATGTGTATCTCATTTTTCGTTTCTTTTCTTTTTCTTTTTTTGGCTATTTTTACTATTTGCTAGTTGTCGCTCTCTGGAATAGAAGAATTCGTTCGCACGTACTTATTTTCAACACTCTGCGCACGCAGCTGTCCGGAGAGTATAGGCTGAATCGCCGCGTGTGCCCTTGAAAGCTTGGTTGACGAGAGAAAGAGAGGAAGAAACAGGGGAAAAGAGAAGACCATAGCAGTAACAGGAATAAATAATATAACAATAATATAAGAATAATAAAAATAAAAGAAAGAAGGAAATATTTTAAAAAAAAAAAAAAGAGAGTCTCTCAAAGGGGAAAAATATCTATTCATATTCGTACACACACATACATACGTACGTACATCACGGTGCTCACACAAAGAGGCTTACTAAACGCTTAACTAAAGAAAAAAAAAATTATATATATATTATTTAAACTTTCAAATATACTTGTGATCATCCAGTGATACTTCAAATGAGGGCAGACGTGAAGGAGTACATCCCATCATGGGCCCGCAAGTCTGCACCGGCTGCATCCACCGCCCCAACACCACCAACAGCCGCACCGGCCCCACAGAAGAGTGGATTCACAACATCCATGACTTCTACGAATGTGATCACAATACATAATAGCTCCACTGGGGGCGGTACCCCAATCTACATGCCAACTACACACACACACACGGCCGGTGGATTGCCTATGCGTAGCCCAACAGCGGCATTACGGTTTCCAACTCGTATGAGTCCCATGCACGCACCGTTTCCACCTGTGTCATCAACGATGAATCCAGATGCGAAGGACTTTATTCCACATCTATCAGGTGCCAACTCACTCGCACCACTGCCAACATCAACAGCTGAATTGGCAGAGGAACAAGAACGTCAGCAGAAACAGCAAAGCAGATCTCCTGTAAATGCGAAATGGACAAACAGTACAGCAAAGAACAGTGATACACACCCAACAATGTCACCTGCATTTAAGGCTAGTTTCACACCTCCTGTTGCCCCAATTGTTGTGGAAAAATCAGAAGAGGAAATTATAGAAATTAGCAAGCGAAGCGAACTCAAAGTGGGAGCCCCTGCATTTGTACCTCGTCGTACACTAAACCGTATTCTTATCACTAAACCATCCCCATCTTCACAAGCACAATCATCAAGTCATATGCCACTTGGAGATGTTTGGTGCCTCTTCTTTCTACCTGCTAGTGGCGGGGAAAGTATACGGGAGAATACATATGATCCTACACACGTTTTCAGCGTAGATTCTGTTCCCACCTTCTGGAAAATATTTAACAATGTTGCACAACCAACAGATATGAATTATGGTACTGTATACTTTTTCCGAGATGGAATTAATCCTAAATGGGAGGATCCTGGAAACCGAGATGGTGGTATTGTAAAGCTGAAAGTACCTTCTGAGTCTATTAACGATGCGTGGGTCTTATTGCTCTGTCGAACAATTGGAGAATCATGGTCAAAGTCAGTTCGAAACACTGTAAATGGTGTGGCTCTCAAAGTACGAGAGCGTGCATACCTGCTAGAAGTGTGGGTAACACAACAAACACCTGAGTTAATGGCAGACCTCAGTGAATTGATGCAGCCATTACTTGGTGAAGCTTTTTCAGTCTTGTACTCACCTCACTCGGTGACACAGGAACGAGCAGCAGCAGTAGCAGCTGCATTGGCTGAAAAGGAGAAGAAAAATAGGAACAATCGTCGTCGTTGGTAAAGAGGATGTGTAGTTGTGTGTAATGTAATGTATGCATATATATATATATATGTTTGGGTTTGAAATATTCATCTTTATGAATACACACATACACATACACATTGTATGTCATTATAAATATGTGTAAGGGTATTTTTCCCTAATAATGCAGAAGTTCTACTGAAAAGGGGAACTCTGTTTATATATATTATATTTTATTGTCTTTGTGTACATACATGGCATATATACACACATATTCAAACACATCACTGTTCACTCGTCGTCTCCTATTGACGCGTAATACCTTTGCGTTTAAGAGTAGAACAAATGAATCCTAAGAGTAGGGGTGGTGATTTCCTTGCGACTTATCAGAAACGTTAATTAAATACCGAGAGGACCTCCTTTAAGCAATGAGAAACATATGGAAATGATAACGGAAACAGAAAAAAAAAAAAAGAAAAAAAAAAAGAGGAAACAAAAGAAAGGAAAAAAAAAAAAAAATGCATGGGAACAATATTGCTTGTAGGAGCTTTGATCTCTGTTAAAGTGAGGACCCATCCTCAGAGAACCATGAAGAGAAGAGAAGAGAAGAAAAAAAAAGGAATAAACGAAAAATGAACGTGAAGGAAACAAGGAGGATGACACATCCCATCGCCCTTTAATCCTCTACCCACCGCTTATCAGACACTCCAGTAGCCGATGAGGTGCAGTACTGGGTTAATAAGGATCAAATGATAATGGTTGAATTGCAAATACATGTGTTACTATAACTACAAAAGTTACTCATAACTCTTCGTGCGTGTGTGTTTTCTTTTTTTTTTCCTCTTCTTATTATTGTTATCGTTCTTATTGTTGTTATTGTTATGATTTATTTATTTTTCTAATTCATACTAGTTAGTAGGGATGCTAAGACGCCCTCTGTTTTCACGGGTCTTCACTACCTGCAGAAGTCGACTTCTTCGGCAACGACAGTGTAATGCATTTGATCCCATTGCCAGCACCACGCGAGGCATCGCCTCTCTTGCGCTTTCCCCAACATCTCTCCGCTGCAAAGATGTGCGCCGTGGCGATCGCGGGGACTCGCGCCGCTTGACATTTGAAGAGCGGGCAGAGCGCCGCACGGGGAAGTCGCGTGAACAAAAAGTTGCGAAGGAGAATTTGTTGCAGGAGGCGGAAACGGTCGTCAACGAGGATGTGCCGGAGGAGCTCGAGCATGTCTATATGCAACACTTTGAGAGGGCCAATGTGAGTGCGATGAAGGTGCTGAATATGGCCAAGTGTCTCGAACTGCTCGAAGTGGATGTTGGGGGCGGCCGCAAAGTCCCGCTGGCGAAAGTGGCACATGTTGTCAAGACGGGCAACGCCACACTTGAGGTGGTGCCGCAAACCGCAAGTTTCGCCAGCGCCATTCTGCAGCGCGTGACCCGCTTCGACAGCACACTGCGAGTGACGAAGGAACAGCAGAAGATACGCGTCGCACTGCCGCCCATCACAACTGGCAGGCGAGACCGTGCGGTGGCGGAGATTGAGGCGCAGTGCAGTGCATTCCGCCTAAAGGCAAAGAGCGTGCGGGCACACGCCACACGGGCATTGCAGGACGCTGGCCTCGACGAGAGCGCCGTGCGGGAACTGCAGACGCGATTAGACGAAAACGTGAACGCCTTCACAGAGGAGAAGGTGGCAGAGTTGCAGCAACTCGCGGAAGATGTGACGTCTATGGGAGTTGACGAGTCGGATGTTGGTGTGTAGCAATAGGTGGTACACAATGTGTCTCTGTGTGTTTGGCGAGAATATTAATTGATTTGTTTTAATAGTGTAAATTTGTGGTTTCATTTTTCAATATTAATATTTTTTTTTTAATATTTTTATGTTGTTCTCTTTCATTGTTTCTTTTTTTCGTTTTTAAGGTTTCTACGACAAGACTTCCAAACAGTAATGCGTTTTTTTTTGGTCTTGACTACATTTGTGCTGTTGCTGCTATTTCAGTGCGTCAGGAGTTCTTTGGCAGTAACGGAGTACCATCATTGTATCCATGACAAGATTTCTGGTTTCTATGAAGACCCTAAGTCCCGTAAAGAAGTATCTCATGAGGTTAAGGTAATTGAAACGGAGAGTGGGAATCAGGAGTTGCCTCAGAGGTCAGCGCCAAACAAGGAGTGGAACCCCATCCGCATTGAGGTTTTTACCCATGATTTGGAAAAGCAAGGACGATACTGTGCTAAAAAGGGTGAAGAAGTCAAGATTGATGTTTTTAATAGCAAACATACATGCACTGAGGAGGATGTTTTGACACCTGAAAAGAAGAATATTCTTGTTAATACGATCCTCAAGGAAGCAGTAAAACTACATTCTGACCGTCTGCGTGTGGAACGGTTGAAAGGTCCACTTGTTGTGCCAAAGTTCGGTGTCGGTACTAAATGTGCTACGTTTACGGTGCCCGATAAACACCACACTGATGGTGTACCAGATGTAGACATGGTGTTGTATGTTTCTGCTCGCCCATCAAAGTATTCGGGCTCATTTGCGTGGGCACTAACATGCGCCACGTTGGGAAATGAAACTGCGCGTGGCCGTTCTGTGGTTGGTGTGATGAATTATGCACCAAAGTATATTTTGGCCACGGCCCAGCGAGTCCGCGTTGCTGCACACGAGATTGCACATGTCCTTGGTTTCAGTGTGAGTGAGATGGACAGACTTAAAATGATAAAGGATCTGGGTGAAGTTCGTGGGAGAGAAAAGCTCTATGTTGTGTCGTCCCCAAATACGTTAAGAGAGACGAGGTCGCATTATAATTGTAACACTACTAAAGGTATGTTATTGGAGGATCAGACCTTATCAGTAACTAAGGTGATTGATGGTCAACGCGATGCATCTCACCCCCGACTACCACCAAATTCTCTCATTGCACCTCACTTAGGTGGACCAGGATCACCGTTACATGGATCGTTAATCTCTTCTTCACCACTACGTGATTCACTTGATGATCCACTTCCTCGGTTATTGCAACCACACGAAAAACCTCCAACAATGGAGGGGGGTGAAACTCTACACACAACTCAACTCGGACAATCCTTAAATTCTAGAAGAGACACCACCATACAAGAAAACACAAGAAATACAGTTGAGCCAAATGATGCTGATATAATGAACCAACTCAAAAAAGAAGGAAAAATTATCGGTGTGGAAAGGCACCACTATGTGGATAATTTGTTTAAACATCGATCTCACTGGAAACGTCACAACGCGAAAGATGAACTTATGGCTGGTGTTGTTGGCGCTGGATATTACACTGCACTGACAATGGCTTTCTTTGCGGATATGGGCTACTACAAGGTGGAATGGAGCAAGGCAGAACCGATGAGTTGGGGCAATCAATCCGGTTGTAAATTACTGGATGATAAGTGTGTGAACAACGGCAAGACTGAATACACCGAAATGTTCTGTACCACTGAGCACACCGACAAAACATTATTACAGTGCACCTCTGACCGTCATGCATTGGGTACATGCTTACTTCAAGAACTAAAACATACACCTTATTATAGGGGTACTACTTCGCCGTATCTATATTTCGAAAAAGGGCATTGGGGTAGTCCAGAGGGTGAGCTTATGGATTACTGTCCCTTCATCACAGCAAACAATGACAACTGGTGTACAGATGGAATCGCAGATAAGATGCCTGGAAGTGTTATTGCACCAAATTCACGGTGTGTGAAGGGTGTGGGACTGAAGGTGAATGAAAAGAACATTGGCGATGTGTGTGTGAACGTGTCGTGCAAGTACAATGTGGTGAGTGTGAAGTACAAGGGGAACGAAAAGTGGCATCTCTGTGCTGAGGGGACCAAACTGGAGGTGAACACAAATGAACTGAAGGGCCAAATTGTGTGTCCCAAATACGCAGATGTGTGCAACACCATCAACGTGACACTCGATGAGTTGGAGGGCCCACCGCCACCACCAGAACCGGGAATACAGTCAAATACACCGGGGGCAAAATCTCCCACCGGTGCTGAGGGCCAAGGCACTGCAGTGGGTACTGGAACGACCACTACTAACACCGGTACTACGACCCCCACCAATCAGAACCCTGGTACTCCCAACAGCAACGCTAACAGTGCCACAGCCACAGGCAATACTGCTGCAATCGACAACAATGTTACTATTCAAATCTCCCACACAGATGGTGTCGCTGCCCCCGCTGCTGCTCTCTTTGGCACGTTTGTGTGTCTCCTACTGATCACCACGATGGTGGCTGTGTCCTGAACCGATACTTTGCTGTGATCGTAGTTGTTTGGCTACTGTGAATGGACACATTAAACTAATGATTTTTCTTTATCTTTTTT